AAAACTTGAGAGCAATGAAGAGGTCCTTCAGTAGACAAATGGATAAATAATCTGTGTTATCTCCAGACAATGGAAAATTATTCAACACTAAATGAAATGAGTTATCAAGCCATGAAAAAACATGAAGGAAATTTAACTACATATTACTAAGTGAAAGAAGCCAATATGAAAAAGTTACATACTGTATGATTCCAACTCTACGGAATCTAGAAAAAGCGGAACTATGGAGACAGGTAAAAGACCAGTGGTTGTCAGTGGCTGGAGAGAGGAAGGGATTAAGTGGAGCATAGAGGATGCTTAGAAAGTGAAACTAACCTGTAGGATACTACAGGTAGATACATGTCATTATAAATTTGTCCAAACCCACAAAATATATAACAACAAGAGTGAACCCCAAAGTAAACTAATGATGCATCAGTGTGGATTCATCAATTATCAAAAATGTACCACTTTGGTGTGATCTTATTACAGTGAGCACATGTGGAGATAGGGTAAAAAGGAAACCTCTGTACTTTCTGCCTAATTTTGCTGTGAATTTAAAACTGCTCTAAAAATTAATGTTATTTTTTAAAAATACAAAACTATTTAAATGCACTTTAAAATAAAAAAAGCCCTGCCCAAAGGCAAAAGTCACCTTAAAGTCTGAAAAAATAAATAAATAAATAAATAAATAAATAAATAAATATACTTTTTCTAAGCTTACTTAAATATACATCCTAACACTCTCCAAGTGACCTTGAGGGTATCACTTTAGAACAACAATCATACAAAAATTATGACACTGAAATATCAAGAAAACACCAATTAGGTTTATTACACTTTGTTTCAAAAAGCAAGGAATTGTGCAGTATATTTTTAAACTGTTAAAATGTAACTGAAAAATGAAAACACGAGCTTTTAAACTGTTAAAAAGCTGTTTGGGGAGGCTTCAGGAGTAGGTCTCAGGATTTGGGGCAATTAGCTAGAAATTATATACATCACATCATAGAATGAAAAAATTATGATTTTTGTAACACCATAATTCTGTGATTATGTCTCTCACATTCTGAGCACTTTCCAGTGAGGGAATTAAAATATCATTCTTCTTTGGAACACAGATTCTTCTTAACAATTACAAAGCAACTGGCAACTTATTCCTCAAATCCTAGTCTTTTAACTCATGAATACTCAATAATATTTAAAAATAAAAGACAAGTTTATTTCAAGACACTTACTAAAGAGAAATACACAGTATTTACTTAGTTTCAAATGACTGCAATAAGACAAAAAAGAACAAAAGATAATCCAAATCTTTCCAAATCCTTCCAAAAGGAAGATTATAAAATGAGGCTCAAAGCACTTGAGAAAAAAAATCTTTAAAAATTATTAGAAAGAAAATACTTAATGAGATGTAATTAAAAATAATTCAAGCTGATAGTACTAAAGAATGCTTCCATTAAAGCAAACAAAGGAAATCAACATTTGTCACATGCAGCTTAAATGAGATTTCATCTTGATCAGTGACTTCAGCAAGTACAAGAAAAATATTATATAAATGAATCACTGTATCTTCCTTCTAGACATAAATCTTCTAATTAAGATCAATAGACATATACCATAGAAATAAAGATACTAAAGTCTATAATGTGATCTTAACACTATTCCTCCATATTATATTAAGGGACAAGTTTTTCCTTTTTGAATCTGATTACAGTGTCCATCTCCACAAAAGAAAAATACATATAAACCTGAACAAATGTTCTTCTGACCAAATTCTCTATTTTGAAAAGTTCACGTATGTAAGAAGTCCTTGTTTGCCCAAAAGTGAATGAATGAATAGGAAGGCTTTAAAAGTAACAACCAAAGTCCCAGTAAAGTAGGAAAGGAAGAAATCATATATACATAAATTAAAATCAGCACTGAAAAGTCACTTTTTCACTGTTCTTAATCTCTTCCTGATTCCTCACAAAGCCAAGTGCTCTAAACTCAAAACACCACTATTGGATGTTCACAGTCTCTTCAAACTTATAGAATGCTTTAACTCCAGCACTCAAACTCACTCTACATTAGCTCATTCTTAATTTAAAAAGAAGGAACGCATATAATCTATCAAATAAATTTTCTATTTTTAGCATCCATTCCCAAATTCTACATCTAAACTGAGAATGGGAGCTTTTACAAATGAGAGAAAGTAAGGTTTAAAGCTTTTGTTCTTTGCAGAACTTGCCAAAGAAATAATTTTGTGTTTGCTTCCTGAAAGAAGAGTAAAAAAGAGATATTACAATAGTTAAATGCCACTTCCCAAGCTCTGAGGGCTTTTCTAACAAAGACAAACGTATCAGACTACTTTGCCATTTCTACAAATAGAATCCTGTTACATTTACCATTGTTCAGATACAGAACACCAGGCCAGAAGGAAGTCATGACTTCATGTCTCATAATAAAATGGTGGCGAACCTTTGTTAGTTGTTATAAAATAATCTTAACTACCACCATGAAATGAAAACTTCTCAGACACTGTTCATATAAACATAGATGTGCCTGGTTTTAACAGAAGATACAATCCTGAAAGCTGTTATCTACCCAAACATGTTTTAAAATCTATCAGGAAAGTCTGTTACTGAAAGGCACTCACACAAATATCACCTGAAATATAAATACTACTGACTTAAAAAAAATAAAAAGGCAAACTTACATTTTCAGGTATTTCAAAAACCTGAAAAAATATCAGGAGTCTACTATCAGGTAAGCTGTCAGGGAAGATGCCATGTGCTATTTAAGCTGAGAGACAGAAGCAGGGAACAACAGTGGATAGCAGACAGGTCTGGAGAGAATGGTTAAATCAGCAGCTAAGACCAGGAGTTAAGAGGTTGGATTAGATGACTTCTAAGGCTCTGGACAAATTGTGATTGTATTTTAAGGTACACTGAGCAGTGATAGTGGATAAAAACTAATCAATTTACGTTCCTGTCTCTTCTCTCTGTGAGTAACATGGTAGATATAGAATCTAAAAGCAGAAACTTAAGTTAGAGTTCCTATGATATGAAACCTGACCAAGGCTTAAGACTTAAGAATAAACTATTGGAAACACAACCTAAAACCAATTTTATTCAGAAACACACAAAAGTAATCCAATGGGAAAGAATATCTTAATCCTATCTCAAACCACACAAAAAAATGAATTCTAGGTGGCAGAAGAAAACACAAAATGTTCTCATTATAACAGGCAAAGATTCCTTAGGATTTAAAAAGTAGTAATCATAAAAGAAAAAATTGATAAATTAGACTTCTTAAGTATTTACAACTTTTGCTCATCAATTGTCAACACTAGGAAAATGAATAGACAAGCCACAGAGTAGAAGAAAATGTTCACAGGGCATGTATTTGCCAAAAGACTCACATCCGGAATATATAAAGAACTCCTAAAAGCAAACAATGAAACAATGTGCACACCACAAAAGAAGATATGCAGAATGGTCAATAAGCACATGAAAGGTGCTCACAAACATTAGTCACAGTAAAATAAAATAGCACTACAGATATTCACTAGAATGACTAGGATGAAAAACATAGACAATACCAAATGTTGTCAAGAATGTAAAACAAACAGAACTCCCGTTTGCTGCTGGTAGAAACCAAAATAGACACACCTACACACATTTCCTGGTTTTATTATGTGTGTGTGTTTATTATTTAATAAAAGGACCCAGGGCTGCTTAGAAAATGTTGTATCTGGGCTAGAGTAGAAAAGCTATAAGATGAGCCTGGAACAACATGCTGCATAAAAAAGGAAATAAGTTTTCCAAGAGTCATGAGAACATGCCAAAGGAACAGCAGAGCCAGCATGACAGAGCAACCAGCAGCCAAATTTGGGACAATCTGCATTTCAAAATAAATCACAACATAAATAATGACAGCAATGGACTATAATACATCCAATTATATAAGAATCCATGAGTCCATGCTTATATAAATTAACAAATTAGGGAAGAAGGGACAGCTTTTGCCTACATTAGAATGTAAATTAGAATACATAAGTAATGATGAAGTCAGAAAATAATCTAATGGGTATAAATTTGATGAAAAACAAACCTATTTACAAAATCTCAAAACTCACCTTAGAAAACATTTTCTAAATACAAAGGGAAAATAAGAAACCGTTAAGTGGAGAAACTTAGCAGTCACTACCCTAGGCAAGTGATCAAAGCTACTTGAAACCAAGGCGACATCATGTCCCTTTCTGATGTGATGCACTGAAATCATATCACTTCTACGATATCTGTGCTTAGACTGCATACCCAAGTATAATCATGAAGAAATATGAGATGGCCTCAAACACAGGACATTTTACCAAACAGCCTGCACTTCAAAAAATATCAATGTCATGAACCATAAAGAAAGGCAGGGAACTGTCCCAGATGAAAAGACACTAAAGAGATATGACAAAAAGATGAAATATGCGATCCTGAACTGGAACTTGAACCAAGGGGAGAAAAAGCTATAAGAAATTCTGTGCAGTTGATATTATTTTATCCTTTATACAAATAAGAGACCTTCTTTAAAAGGTTAAATAATAGTACAAAGTAAACAGTACCTCTAAGATATGTAGTCTCAGTATTCAATTTATTAGGCAGGTTGCTATCTCCCTGGCTAGCTGTATCAGAGCTAAAGTCTCAATCCGAAATCTTTACACACATTAAATTCAGTTAAAATTAAGTATTCTCTGACATTCTTTTAACAGAAATAATCAAATGGATCACCCTAAGTGTATCAAAGTTAAATATTTCAAGTTACAAAAAAAAAGATATAGTGACTATAAGGATATCTGTCATCCATTTATTTCAAACAAGTTACTTTAAAAGACTTATCAAATACAAATGAAAGTACACTCTAGATGAGATAAATAAAAATTACAACAGAAGCAACTGTAACCTGCAAAAACTGAAACATAATAACAAATAAAAACTCACACTGTCAGCATACTGAGTTCAAACATCCATACTTACAAAAGGTACACATACCTTTCCCTAAATGTGTGTTTATGCTCATATATCTAGCTGTTCCTGTAAGGCTCTTGTGTTCTCTGTATGGTATGTGTTTCTTTGTCTCTGGATCAATATATTCCTTTGCCAAACCAAAATCTATAATATGAATAACTTGCTGGGTTTTGTTTCCCGGCCGGCCTATTAAGAAGTTCTCAGGTTTTACATCTCTGTATATCAAGTTCTTTGAATGGACATATTCCATGCGAGAAATCTTGATGCAAAAAAGAAAAAAAAAAAAAGATAAATTTTATTTTAGGCTTGACTAGCATAAAATAAGATGAGAGCGGCAAGACAATTTTCACAATGAAAACAGTGTAAAGAAGAAAAAAATAAAAACAAACAGAAACTGTTTTATCCCCTTAAAAGCAACATACTATCACTCCATAGTTTCTCAAAAACATGTTCAATTATGATGAAAAATATCTTTTTCTATTTTGGTCACTTATAAATGGAAGTGCTTGAATTTCATGAATTCCTTTCAAATCAGGAAGACTGACTTAATCAAAACTTTCAGATGATGCCACCTTATACAATCAAATAGATTTACCAATAAAAAATCTTAAAAGTATAAACAGATATATTCAGAAAATTGCAATTTATTTTTCCTTTTCAGTTCAACAATGGAAAAACTTTTACAATTATTACACTAAAGAAACTTAGAGAGTCTAAACTGTTAAAAACAGTTAACAGAGCACCCTTCAGTCATATTTTTCTTTTTCATAATTTGCTTACTTTTCTTACATATTAAACATTTAAAAAGATATTGAAACTAGAAAACTTTGGAACACAACTCTAATAATAATATAACACATTTTTATTCCTTGCTTTACAATTACTCAATATTCATTGTATAAATTGTCACAAAATAAAACATTACAAGTAAGTAAATAAAAATGCTTCATTTAGTAATAATCATGGTTCACAATACAACGTAAGTGAACACAGTCACTCAAACCATTTTAGTTTGTTAACAAATTTGGGGTCATATATATACATAACATTCTATGACCTATACTTTTCATTAACAAGGTGTTATGAGCATTTTTCAGGTCATGAAATATTCTTTTAATAAACAATTTTTAATGAATACATATTATCTTATTGTTATTAATAATTTATTCACTAACATTTCTGTGCATTTGGGTTGTTTCCCACTTTATTATAGACATCTCTGGACAAAAAGCTTTTAAGTACACCTGAATACTTTTATAGGGCAAATCTGCAGAAGTGAAAAAAATCAACAGATTAAAAACAATTTTAAGACTTCTGCAACATATTAACATTTGTTTAGAAGCATCCTTAAAAATTATCCTCTAAGTTATTTCCCCATAAGCTCCCTGAAATTTAAATGTCTAAGACTCCCTCACTAGTTTGTTTCTTCTTTTCCTAGGCCATTTTACATTAATTTACTGAGATTAAAAACCTGTGTTTCTGACGGTTCTCTTTCATTTTTTTTTCCGTGTATGGTAGATCTTTTTTTTAGTTTTATTGAGAAATCTCCATACTGTTTTCCACAGTGGCTGTACCAATTTACATCACTACCATCAGTGTTCAAGGATTCTCTTTTCTCCATATCATCACCTACGTTTGCTATTTTCATTCTTTTTTAACTTATTTTTTTATTGAAGGATAACTGCTTTACAGAATTTTGTTGTTTTCTGTCAAACCTCAACATGAATCAGCCATAGGTATACCTATATCTCTTCCCTTTTGAACCTAAGTATTCATTTTTGACATGAAAAGAGTGCTGGAAACAACTTAATTCTCCAACTGAGCATTCTGATCTTAAAGCAATAATATACCAATTTTTTCATATCAAAAAAAAAAATCTGCATCAGTTATTTTAAGCTACATTCATCCTGACAAGACAATGATATGAAAAGTAGACATATTTTTATTAGGTTGAATGCTGTGAACGACAATGTTGCACAACTTTTAACTTTTAAAGTAACTCAGTGACCAAATGGAACCATACAACTGTTCGAGCAGCTTCAAAACATCCTGCTTTACTTACCAGTTGGATAGCTATCATGAGAACCGTTTTAAGAGAAAATGTTCTGTCACACAAATCAAACAAATCTTCCAAACTAGGTCCCAGTAGTTCCAGCACCATAGCGTTGTATTTACCACAAGGGCCAAAATAGTAAACTTGAGGTATACCATCTGGGGGAAAGAAGAAGGGCTTTAATAACTTCCTCATCTTAAACATCAAACTCTGCTTCCTAGAAAATCAATACACAATTTTTAAAACATTCTGTAGCTTTAAGAACTGCAGCAGGATTTTCACTTTTTCTGTACAAACTTTTCTTGAAACAGCCTCCTCCCTGGTGAAGCACAGGGATTCAGGTTACACCTCTGCTCCACCTGCATTGCTAACTACATTATAAACACTGCTTCACTGTTGGTCTCCACCACTTCACCACAGAAAGGAACTGTGCATTTGAGCCTTATTATTTCCATGGCCTACAGAAATGTCTGGCACACAGGAAAGATCTTATTTGTACTGAAAACAGGAGCCACTGCACTCTTTGATAACCTTGTGGTAGGCGTAGCGTTAAGATCACCCCAAGACTCCCATCCGCTGGTGTACACGCCCCTCTGGTGTATAATCCTCCTCCTCCAACTGTGGGCGAGATTCCCAGACTTCCTCTAATCATCAGGTTGTATTATATGGCAAAGGTAACATGGCTAAGGCCCATGTCACTGGAGTTTAATCAAAAGGGAGAGTATTCTGATGTGCCTGACCTAATCAGGTAAGACACTTAAAAAGCCATGCTAGAAGTCAGAAATATTCAAAAGCAGCAGAGCAGTTCTGCTGACGTTAAAAACCAACAATCATGTTGCACAAGATGGCGACATGCCAGAGAACGGTGGGCAGGCTCTAGGAACGGAGAGCTTCGTCCCATGGCCCTGAAAAAGTCAATTTTGAAAATACGAATGAACCTGGAAGAGGACTCAGAGCCTCGGAAAAGACTGCAGTCCAGGCTTACACCTTCATCTAAACCTAGAAAAAGACCCTCAAAAAAGGACAAAGCTAAACTATGCTATGCCTAGACTCCATAGAAACTGGGAGAAGACAATAAAGTCTCTTATTATATATCACTAATTACTAAATAATTCATTATGCAAGAACACAAAATAATACAAACTCCAAAGATAAAGTCTAAATGCACAGAAATCAAATGTACTTTACTTTTACTTTTTTGTGTATTTTTTTATTTGTTTTTAACTGGAAGATAATTGCTTTACAATATTGTATTGGTTTCTGCCATACATCAACATGAATCAGATACAGATATACATTATGTCCCTTTCCTCCTGAACCTCTCTCATATATTTCATTTTTAGAACTAAGACTCCCAACAAATTAACATATAATAGGTGATCATTTTATTTTAATACTGCATCTATCTATTTGTTTTGAGGAAATGAACAACTTCCATCTAAAATGCCTCAGTTTTACTTACAAGTGTTTTTTGTTTTGTGTAATGATTTTGTAAGAGAAAAAACTTTCTAAAATATACTAAAACTTCCCCCCATTCTTTTAAAAATAAAGAGTATGAGGAATGCAATTTCACTCTTACTGTTTATTCTATCATTTTGCATAGTAAGTACTACATGGGCAAAATAAAACATTGGACTGGAAGCCAAGATAATTAGGTTCTTAGTCTGTCTTAATACTAACTATTCAATCTCTCAAGTAGACTTCAGTTTATCTATAATATCAATAGTTTAGAAAAGACCAATTTTTCCTGAAATGTGAATGTAAGGGAGGCGTTAGGACAGCTGAAGATAGGAACGTAACATAATATAGTCATGATAAGCACACAGGAAGGAGACACAGTCAAACTGCATACGAGGTCCCCTCCTCAAAAACAGAGACTCTCATACACTCCCATGTGTATAAAGATACACTCGCATATATATACATACACTCCCATGTGTATATATCATCACCCTGCACCACACACCAGAAAAACACACACATTTTCCCCTGCCAAAAGAATCATTATAGCATGAGTTAAGGTTGGTTGAATAGGAGGATGTGAAACCACAGACACAGAGGATCCAAAACATGTATATGGAGGGCCGACTATGAGTTACATGTGGATTTTTGACTCTACAGAGGGTCAGTGTCCCTAACTCCTGTGTTTTTCAAGGGTCAGTTCAACATTGCTTAATTCCAAAGAGCTCCAAAATGAAGTTCATGGTTAATAAGAAAAGAAGTCTATATAACTTTGAATATTAGGGAGAGTGTTTGAGAAATACTTTACTCAGTTACAGTTAATACTTGGATTAAATAAATGTGGCCTAAATCTTTTTCCAATTCAGGTCGTCCCTGAATCATTTTTTTGGTTGTTGTCATTAAAAGTTTCAGGTGTGCAGCATTATAATTTGACATCTGTACAGGCATTCCTTGTTTTGTTGCATTTCACCATTTTTTTTTTAATTACAAATTGGACGTTTACGGCATCCCTACAGAGAGCAAGTTCTTGGTGCCCTTTTTCTAACAGCATCCGCTCACTTCATGTCTTTGTGTCACATTTGGACAGTTTTCACAGTATTTCTGACTTTTCTGAATGGGAGCTTCCCTTGGAGCTCAGTTGGTAAAGAATCTGCCTGTAATGCAGGAGACCCAGGTTTGATTCCTAAGTCGAGAAGATCCCCTGGAGAAGGAAATGGCAACCCACTCCAGTATTCTTTCCTGGAGAATCCCATGGAGAGAGGAGCCTGGCAGGCTACAGTCCATGGGGTCAACAAGAGTCAGACAACTAAACCACCACCTTAGCATGAATTCTTACTAGAGCCACTCATACCATATTTCAGTTATATCTACCCATATGATGTGTAAAAAAGACAAAAGGCTCAGAAATAGTGGATAAGAGACTCATTAATGTTTATTCTAACTCTGACATACTGCTTTTACTATGCTATATACATTAAGAGCCTAATGATACAATTAAGATTTATCAATAGCTCTTAGTTACTAAGTTTTAAAAAATATTTCTACGATGTTTTTCCCCTGCCTCTGTGCCACTGAAAAGTATTTTTATGTTCTTAATCTAGCAATCTCTAATAACCCATTTCCTGTTGCTTCTAGCCATAAAGATGCTCACTGAACGCAGGAGGAGAATGGATTAACATAGAGACAGAAATACAGGAAAGTACCAAATAAGTTATAACTGAATTAAAAATATATATATACTGGAGGAGTTCAATGGTAGACTGGATGAGGTAAAAGACTGAATCAGTTAGGTGCAAGACAAAACAACTGAGCTTATCCAGACAGAGAAGCAAAATGAATCTTAAAAAGTGGAATTAACTTAAGAAACCACTGAAACAGCATAAAGCAAAATAACGTTTGCATTACATAGATCCCAGAATAAGGAGAGAGAGAAAAGGGGCCAGAAAAATCATCTGAAGAAATATGGCCAAATATTTCTCTAATCTGTGGAAGGAAACAAGACATCCAGGTCCAGGAATTCCAGAGAGTTCCAATAAAGATTAACTCTAATAAACATACACCAAGACACGTCATAATTAAAATGGTATGTAAGTTAAGGATAAAGAGAGAATTCTAAAAACAAGAGAAAACCAACTTATTACCTACAAAGTAAATCCCATAAGATAATCAGCAGATTTTTCAGCAGAAGCTTTACAGGCCAAGAGTAAATGGCATAATGTATTCAGAGTGCGACAAAGGAGAAAACTTTCAACCAAGAATTCTCTGTCTAGCAAGTTTATCATTCAGAACTGAAGAAAGGATGAAGAGTTTCCCAGATAAACACAAGTTTAAAGAGGTTTATCACAACTAAACTGGCCCTATAAGAAATATTGAAGAGATTTCTTAAGCTGAAAAGAAAAAGAACTAATTAATAGTAAGAAAACATACACAAGTAAAAAATATTACTGGAAAAGGTAAATATATAATAAAGGTAGTGGATCAATCACTTATAAAGCAAACATGATGGTTTAAAGACAAAAAGCAGTAAATTTAAATTAAATTCCAATAACAATGGATGCTTTAAATTAAGAGACAATATATGTCATCAAAAGCATAAAACACTGAGAAAAACTTTTGTTAGAGAAAGCTTTGGCATTTAAGGTGCTACCAGTTTAAAACAGGCTACTACTTATATAGACAGTTCGATGTGAATCTTGTAATAACCACTGGGAAAAAAAGTGTAGTAAATACACAAAAGAAAATGGAAAGAAATGTAAATATATCACTAAAGAAAACTACCAAAACACAAAGAAAGAGGAAAAGAGAAGAACGGAACAGAGAGGAACTACAAAACTACCAGGAAAAAATTAACAAAATGACAATGAGTATGTATTTATCAAGAACTACTTCAAATGTATATGGACTAGAACAGCCAATTAAAGGACACCGAGGGCTCTTTTCCTCCCTGGCTGCTTGAAGATCAGCCGCAATCATGAACGACACAGTACCTATCCGGACTAGGAAGTTCATGACCAACCGGCTGCTTCAGCGGAAACAAATGGTCCTGGAAAGGCAACAGTACCTAAAACAGAAATTCGGGAAAAACTGGCCAAAATGTACAAGACCACACCAGATGTCATCTTTGTATTTGGCTTCAGAACCCATTTTGGTGGTGGCAAGACAACTGGCTTCGGCATAATTTACGATTCCTTGGATTACACGAAAAAGAATGAGCCCAAACATAGGCTTGCAAGACACGACCTGTATGAGAAGAAAAAGACCTCAAGAAAACAGCGAAAAGCAAGAACAGAATGAAGAAAGTCAGGGGGACTGCAAAGGCCAATGTTGGTGCTGGCAAAAAGAAGGAGTAAAGATTCTGCAGTGACTGTATCTGTGGTGCTTGTGCAGATTTTTCATGAAAGAATAAACTAAGACCTTTTCCAAAAAAAAAAAAAATAATAAAGGACACTGAGGGACTGTTTGAATTTAAAGGGGGAAAAAAAAACCCCTATCTACATGCTGTCTACACAAGACTCACTTCAGGAGAAAGGATACACACAGTCTGAAAGTGAAAAAATTGAAAAACATTTTAATGCAAATATAAACAAAAAGAAAGTTGGACTAGCTATACTCATATCAGAGAAAGAAGATTTTAAAACAAAGACTATAAAAGACAAAGAAGAGCAAACATAATGATAAAGGTGTCAATCCAGGAAAA